TTTGGTTTGGTTTGTTTGAGGGTTTATTAAAGGGTTATTTAATGCCGACAAGATTTTTCTTAGTCGTAATATTTTTTTCCAAAAATATATTGCTGGTTATAATTTTTTTTCCAAAAATGTATTTCCGGTAATAATTCTTTTTTGAAAAAATGTATTGTTGGTAATATTTTTTCTGTTTCAAAAATGTACTGCGGGTAATAATTCCCCCCCCCTGCAAAAAAAAGGACTGCTAGTATTAAAACCTATTTTTATTCCTTTAGACCCCTTTTGTGGGGGTTAATTATTTACCCATAGCTCGAACCCTTACAGGTGCTACCACCACGGGTTAGGGTGGATCTGGGAACATTAGTAATTAAGAGGTGGTTCCGTGCTCCTCAAAACCTCCTAATCAAAGGCCTTGTTGTTGGACGTAGTTTATCGTCTTTCCCTTTACGCGAATGTATTTTACCGTCTTACTCAGGACGCGGATGTAGTTTATCGTCTTACCAAGGACACGGATGTTGTTTATCGTCTTACGCGGGACGCGGATGCATTTTACCGTCTTACCCAGGACGCGGATGTTGTTTATCGTCTTACCCAGGACACGGATGTAGTTAATCGTCTTACCCAGGACACAGATGTAGTTTATCGTCTTACCAAGGACACGGATGTTGTTTATCGTCTTACCAAGGACACGGATGTAGTTTATCGTCTTACCAAGGACACGGATGTTGTTTATCATCTTACCAAGGACACGGATGTTGTTTATCGTCTTACGCAGGACGCGGATGTATTTTATCGTCTTACCCAGGACACGGATGTAGTCTATCGTCTTACCCAGGACACGGATGTAGTTTATCGTCTTACCCAGGACACGAGTGTAGTTAATCGTCTTACGCAGGACGCAGATGTAGTTTATCCTCTTACCCAGGACACGGATGTTGTTTATCGTCTTACTCAGGACGGCCAGAAAGGCTTTGATTTTTCAACGTCAGGAAGTATTATTTAAGTTTATATTTTGCCGTAAATCATCCATCAATTCTTTTGGTTTTAATTTTATTTTGCACTTCTCTCTCGTAATTTCAGAAATTAACTATTATAGAATAAAGCCAAGTAAAAGAAATAAACAATTCAAATGAAACATAGTTTATATTCATAGCTAGATTTTATTTATGCACTCAAATATCCCAAGAAATAACCGCAGGAACTTTTTTTAATGTTTGGAATTGTCATTATCCTTAGAATTTAGGAAAAAAATAAAATAACAAATTCAAACAAAACATGCATAAATGTTTAGCTATATTAAATATCTATATTTTTCTATTCCAACAAGTTCTTTAAAAAATTCATATAATTTAAGGGTAGTATAAATTATTTTTTCCACAGTCCATTCTCAAGCAAAAAATATATAAAAAATATCTTTGATAAATATACTCCATAAAGTTGATGATAATATGTGGAGGCGTCTTTGATGCCGGCAGCAAAGGCGGTCTTCAGATACAATTAGGATTAAATATTTTCAACGCGTTCTTCAATTTCCAGATTCCTTCTAACACAGTTATTATATACCTTTAACTTCTGAAGGAACTCTCTAATTTATCTTCAAGTTTCTCCCATAATTCCTTTTCAGTGTCGTCTGCATTTTTCCATTTTTTTATTTCTTGTTTGAAATTCAAATATTAAATCCGACTCAAATTCAGGAAGCCAAAGTGAAAAAAAAAAGTAAAAAGAGAAAGAAAAAAATACAGTAATAATCCATATTATTTTCCTTCCTTCTTTCCTTCCAAATATTGTTTTTCACTTTTTCTTTCTTTATTTCAAAAATTATCATTATCGTCCCTTAAGACCGGTAGCAACTTACCGACATTGCCATAGACTCAAAGATAATAATAGCATTAATACCTTTGGGCTGAAATCCAGACGCTAAAAAGCGGTAATTTTCAACACTTTTTTTTTTTTTTGTTATCTTCCTTTTCTTTTTATATATTTGTTTCTTTATTTCAAGTGGAACTTCAGATTTACCTCTGGAGCCTATCTCCTGTCGCGAATCGCACGCACTTGATTCCGCTGACAGCCATGATTACCAAACCTGAGTCATCGAAGGAGTGGAAAATGGCGGTGAAAATGTCCTCGCCAGTTGATGACACCGCTCAGCGTTTGGCGCTAAAGATGGAATTATCTAATTCCTTAGGCCATCCACAGAAACATTAACCGAACACCTGGGTAGAGAGATTCTAGGGAGTGGCGGCTTGTTTTGCGTTGGGTTGCGATAGAAATTATTATCTAGAGACTAGAAAACTTTCATTTGGAGAGTTTGGAAGTAATTTTCAACATATTCTGCGCTCTTAAATTCCCAGGCTTCTTGTCTACAATGAGTCCAGCGTTATAAACCCGTTTTCCTGATGGCACATCCTGGAATTTAAAGAATTAAAATATCACCAAATGAAAATGATATATATTAAATAATTTCAATTTTGTAGTAATGCAAAAAGTCCGCCACCATGTATGTACGTATGTATGGCAGGGCAGTCGTATATCTTTCTGCTAGTATGTCTAGCTAATCCCTGTTAAAAATGCCTGCTCATTCACATTATTGTTTCTTCAAAACTGACAGAGTCAATCTCTGATTTATTCTGTAATGAAACTGAGCGCACTTTAGATTCGGGGAGATAGCGCATATTCTGGAAGGACCACCAGTTCGAACAAGGCCTGTACACTTATAGCATCGGTCACAGTTTTGGGGAAATTTCATTCACTTGGCTGGTGGCCAAGCAGATGCGCGTTCCGAGGTACTTCCCTACACTGGAATTATCTCACCAGGTCTATATTATAAAGAAGTATTCTCCTTTACAAATCGAATTATATATAACTGATTTTTGATTTTTACAGTGCTCAATGTAAATTTACAGAGCATAAATTTTATAAATTAACTGATTTAAAATATTGTTTCTTTGCTACACAGGAATTACCAGGTTTCAAAAACCGAATCTAAAAACTTCAAATTTAATTATACAATTAAATTAAAAGCATTAATTTTGTTTCATCTCCAAAATTCGTTTCAAGATGAAACAGAACTAATACTTTTAATTTAATTATATAATTAAATTTGAAGTTTTTAGATTCCATTTTTTGAAACATGGTAATTCCTGTGTAGCGAAGAAACCATATTTTAAATCGGTTAATTTATAATATATATATATAGTCTACAAATTTCCAGAGAGACCATTGAAAGTAGAAGACAAACCCATGAACTATGTAAAGTCTTTCACCTTTCTTGGTAGCAAAGTCAATTACAGTGGAACTTTAGATGATGAAATCATGCATCGGATTGCTAAGGCTACCAGTGCTTTCGGCAAACTTCGCCATCGCTTGTGGGATGAGCAGGGTATTCGACTGGATACGAAAACTCGAGTTTACAGAGCTGTTGTACTTGCCATCCTTTTGTATGGCTCAGAGTCGTGGACTCCATACAGGTACCATATACGCCAGCTAGATGTTTTCCATAAAAGCTGTCTGCGTGCAATCTGTGGAGGTAAGCTTCAAGATAGGACATCTAACGTAGACCTATTTAACAGGTGTAATATTAGAGGAATCGAGGCTTTTATCATACAGTCTCAGTTACGGTGGACTGGTCATGTCTTGAGAATGTCTGATGACAGGATGCCCAAGATCCTAATGTACAACCAGTAAGATCAGGAATGTAGGACGCCCATGGATAAGATACAAAGACAAGCTGAAAAAGCAACTTGTCAGCAGTCAATATACCACATAACACCCTTGAGCGCTTAGCTTTGGAGCGGGTAGAATGGAGATCAACGTGTTTTAGTTGGCTCAGCAATTTTCAATCTGCTTGTCTGAATCATCTTCAAGAAGCAAGAGCAAGATCTAAAAGGTCAGCCAATCTAATAGTGATCACATCTCACAATTCTCACTCTTGCTCTATATGTGGCCTCCTTTGTAAATCACTAGCGGGTCTTAAATGCCACTTATGATTATCGCACAAAATTTCATAACTGAATCAATTAAGGTGTCAGATCCTGATACGTCGAAATCGACTGGAGAGTCCATTATATATATATATATATATATATATATATATATATATATATATATATATATATATATATATATAACTGTAATAAAATGATTATTAAGAAAATTTAAAAAATCATTTAATCACCAGTTACTTACCATCGCCTGAAGAAGTACAATCATAGAACTGAAACATGAAAGCATTTGTGTAGCGATTTCTAGATGTTTTTTTATTATAATCCCGTATAATAAAAATATAATAATAATATATTACTCTACTTTGTATTGAGCACTTTTATGAACGTAGAATTTATTCCATTTGTATTTTTCTCTTATTTGGATATATATATATATATATATATATATATATATATATATATATATAGAGTATCAGATTTTCCAAACCCTCTTTCCTCATTGTGCGCCCTAAAAATTTCAACTGTCTCCTACTTATAAGTAAAAGTTTCCTCTTTGTTTCCCTTTTCTCTAAAACCTCGCCGCTGCTCATATATTTGGTCCATGGTATCCTCATCATCTTTCTGTAGAACCATATTTTTATTGCTTCGAGTTTGTTCTTCATCTTTGAAGAGATTGTCGAGCAAGAGGAGAGATATTACGTAACAGATCAATAGTTTTTCTTTATTTCTAACGAATATTTTCTGGTCCATGGTATCCCCAGCATCCTACTGTAGAACAACATCTCTGTTGCTTCAGGTCTCTTCTTCATTTGCAAGAAGATTGTCCAGATTCCCTACAATGCTGGAGAACAGATATCACGTAAGAGTTTAGTATCCTGAGAAAAAAAAATGGACGTGCAAGCAAATAATCAGTTTGTATTTAACGATGAATAATTAAAATGGATATGAAGTCAGTGTGAATTATTTACCAATTCTCAGTAATAGCCTCTGTCCATTTCTTTGAAACTGTTTAAGCGTCATGGTCATTTCAAATAAAATATATATATATATTGTTCTTTAGATTATTTACAGACTTCAAACCTATTTTCTGAATATTTTCATATCTATCTATCTATCTATCTATCTATCTATCTATCTATCTATCTATCTATTTATCTATCTATCTATCTAAATTTCTTATCTATCTATCTATCTATCTATCTATCTATCTATCTATATATCTTTGTCTCTTCATATCTATCTATCTATCTTTGTCTATTCATATCTATCTATCTATCTATCTATCTATCTATCTATCTATCTATGTTTCTTAATATATATTTCCTTTTATTCTACCTACCTCAGTCTATTCATATCTATCTATCTATCTATCTATCTATTCTTTCTTTCTCTGTAGTTTTTTTCATATCTATTTCTTTTTATTTTATCTACCTCAGTCTGGTCATATGTATGTATGTATGTATGTATGTATGTATGTATGTATGTATGTATCTATCTATCTATGATTGCTTTCTTTCTCTCTAGGTTTCTCCATATTTATTTTCTTTTATTCTTCCTACCTCAGTCTCTTCATATCTATCTATCTATCTATCTATCTATCTATCTATCTATCTATCTATCTATCTCAATCTTCTGTCTCTCTCTCTATCTATCTATCTATCTATCTATCTATCTATCTATCTATCTATCTATCTATCTTTGTCTCTTCATATCTATCTATCTATCTATCTATCTATACTTTCTTTCTCTGTAGGTTTCATCATGTTTATCTCCTCTTATTCTGTCTACCTCCCTCTAATCATATCTATGTATCTATCAATCTCTTTTTCTCTCTCTTTCTGTCTGTCTATCTCTCTCTTTCTCTCTCTCTCTATATATATATATATATATATATATATATATATATATATATATATATATATATATATATATATCAGCTTCTTAATTTCTGTCTATCTATGTATCTATTTATCTATCAATATTTCTCTCTCTCTCTCTCTCTCTCTCTCTCTCTCTATATATATATATATATATATATATATATATATATATATATATATCAGTTTCTTAATTTTTATCTTCCTACCTGTCTATCTATACTTTCTTTTGTAGGTTTCTTCATGTTTATCTTATCTTATTCTGTCGACTTCAGTCTATTCGTATCTATCTATCTATCTATCTATCTATCTATCTATCTATCTATCTATCTATCTATCTATCTCAGTCTGCTCCAATGAGCATATCTATATTTGTGTCTGTCTATAAACAGAGATAGAGAGAGATAGAGAGAGAGAGAGAGAGGTGGGGGGGGGGATTGAAGCTGAAACCAAAATTCGGAACCAATATTCCTTCGGATCGAATCAGTGGACTGAAAACACACAAGTTAAATATATACGTTTCTGCACTCTGGTTATTCCTAATAATATCTTCCCACCCAGGTGCACCCTACGGTGAACTCCCCACACCCCAGATCCCAAATACATAATGATTAAGTATAAACTTATCCGCTTACTTTGAGCCTGCAAAAAGGAGACAGTGCGCACGGGTGTGGTCACAGTTCTCACAGCCTCGAAGCCGACAGGCACGACATCTACCCAAAAGCGGCAAAATCGTCTTAGGTAGCAACATGACTTTGCATTTATTTGCCAGCTCGCAAAACGTAGGAAGCCAAAGAAAGAAATCGAACCCCGAAAAGTGATGATGTGGTATTTTTAACGCATGGCTCCTTCTGCGTTATTTATTTATTTTTTGTGTCTATGTTTGGAACAATAACGAAGCGCTATTTTTTGGTTCAATATTAATGAAATCTTAGAAGTGTCTCTGAAGCGTAAAAGTACACCATTGCTTGAACAGTTAACTAGAGTTCATTCTTAAACGTTAAGAACATTTGTGAGGCTACGAAAAATTAATACCCGGAAAAAAAAAAAAACATCTTCCAGATTTTCAAACACTTCTTTTCAGCTTGCTTGACATATTAATAAAGACATTTTGTTCCAAATTTAATGCTGATGTTAGGCCATAAAGATTCGTTATTGTTTTTTTTTTTTAATATTAACAAAATCTTAGAAGTGTATCTGAGGCTTAAAAGCTCTTTATTGCTTGTACAGTCAGACTTCATTTTAAAAAAAAAAAACGCTTTGAACATTTTTGGGCTAAGAAAATTAATTCTAGGGAAAAAAAACTGTCAAATTTTTAAACTCATCTTTTCATCTTGCATGACAGAAATTTTCATGCCAAATTTAATGTAAATATGAGACAATATTGAAACGCGATTGCTTCTTTTTTTTTTTTTGGTTCAATATTAATAAAATCTTAGAAGTTTATCTGAAGATTAACAACTCTTTATTGCTTGTACAGTCAACTGGTGTTCATTCTTAAACGTTAAGATCTTTTCTGTGGCTAAGAAATTTAATTCCCGGAAAAAATAAGAACATCTTTCACATTTTCAATCAGTTCTGTTCATCTTGCATGGTAGATGAAATAACATACTTGTGGCAAATTTAATGTATGTGCGGGACAATAACGAAGTTCTATTTTTTTCTGAATATTAATGAAATCTTAGAAGTGTCTCTGAAGATTGAAAGCTCATTATTTCTTGAACAGATCTGGTGTTCATTTTTCAACCGTAAGAATATTTTTGAAAATTAATTCCCAGAAAAAAACCCCCCAAAACCCCCAAAAAACAAAGCAAAATTAATCCCCAGAAAAAACAAAAAAACAAAAACAAAACCTCATTCAGATATCCAAGCACTTCTTTTCATCTCGCATGGCAGATAAAAAAAAACAACATTTTCATGCCAAATTTAATTAATGTGTGCGAAAATAATATTTATGAAATCTTAGAAGTGTTTCTGAAGTTTAAAAACACTTTATTGCTCAAACAATCTACCGGAGTTTATTTTTAACAAGCACTAAGAACATTTGTGAATCTTGAAAAATTAATTATCAGATGCAAAAACAACGGTCAAATTTTCAGCACTAGAAACAAAATATTTTGGTGAGAAATTTTTTTGAGCTTCGTTATTGTCTTACATTTAAATTATTAAGTGTGATACAAGTGTAAACTATTAAGTATGATGTTTCATTTTTTGCTCAATTTTAATGAATATAATCTTAGAATTGTCTCTGAAGTTTGAAAGCTCTTGCAGTAGCAAGAAGAGTCCACCGGACTACATTCTTAAGAAACGGTAAGAACATTTTTGAACACTATTGTCCTCATCTTTGTCGCCATATTTATTACAACGTTTCGGCCGTTGTACGCTCCGGCCTTCTTCAGGTGGTTATTTCGCTCTCTGGAGTAGACTGTTCTAGTTCCACGTCTAATGGATGTCAGTTATAAGTTTATCTCCCGTTAATTCCCCTCTCCAGGTTCTCCACTGCCTTAACCGGGTATTGAACTCACACTCCTTGCGTCCTGTGGCGTCTAACTAACGCTTTTATCCACTGTCCTTGAGGACATCTGGGTATGAATTTCTGGGTATTATAAATTTAATGTCTTCAGAAAACAGTTTTTACCATTGCTCATATTCCAATTTTTTGCTGTTGTCATTATATGTTTCTTTTTAAACAGAGCTCATATTGCAATTGTTGTTGTTGTTATCGCTTTTCTCTGGCACTCCTTATTACTGGTTCACATATTGTATTCATTTCTATGCTTGGTCGGCTCAGGAGATTTTCGTGGCATAGCATATGTGCTGATTCCTTAAGTTTACGAATTTTCCAATGATGCCCTCTGTCTATGATTTCAACTAGATCCCACAGAGGGCGGTGGTTTCCCTTCTCTCTCCATATGTGGTCAGCCACGCCTGATTTTTCTACTTCCCCTCGTGTTACAGCTTTCTGGTGTTCTTGAAGCCTTACCTTGTGGGGGCGGCCTGTCTCCCCTTTAGTAAATATGGTGACAAAGATGAGGACCATAGTGTACATAATACCCTATCTGAGAAATATAGACAGAACATTTTTGAAGTTAATAAAAAATAATTCTCGGGAAAAAAAAACCCCAAAAATAAACAAAACATTGATTGGATTGTCAACCACTTCATTTCATATTGAAAGGCATAAAATAATTACATTTTTGTGCCAAAATTTAATGTAAATGTGGAACAATAACGATGCCCTATGTTTTTAATTCACTATTAATGAAATGTAAAAAGTGTCTTTGAAGTTTAAAAGCTCGCCATAGCTTTTACAGTCAACCACATTTTCATTCTTAATAAACATCAGGAATATTTCTGAAGCTTGGAAAAAAATAATTCTAGGGAAAAAGAAAACACCAATCAGATTTTTAACCACTTTTCAACTTGCATAAGAAAGAAAAGAAAATATTTTTGTTCCAAATTTAATCGCCAGAATTAGTTGTGTGAACACCAAGACAAAGAATAATTTTACTGATATCCAAGTCAACCCTAAACATCTATATCGAGTCTATAAGTGAAATGTTCTGCTCATTTATGATTCGAATTAAATACTTTGACGCGAACTGGCATAAACGATAACAAATTTTCCTCTCTAACACTAGCGTGTATAACTGGCTCATTTGAAAGAAACATTTTCTTTAAACATTTTATCCTAAGCAAGGCAATAAAGCCACAAACACGCAGGGGGATACTCAGTTTCAAAGAATAGGGAAAAAATCATCATTAAAGAGAAAGGACAATAAAAGAAAAAAGAATTCAGCTAACAGAAGCTAACAATTGACATTGCAAATAAATTTTTTGAAGTTCAAAGTTGACTGAAAAGCATGAAGCCGAAAGAAAATACCACAAGCGAGAGGTGCGAAAGCATAAAATGATGAGACCTTTCCGCCAATCTAGTACTGCAATTAAATTCATGAAATCTAGATACCATAGAGGAATGTTTATCAGAAAAGTTACCATGAAATTATTTATAGAGAAGGCGAGAGAAGAAACTGTTAGCATTACACTTACAGTTACATCTAGCCATTTCATGCATAAAGCATAAAATGATGAGACCTATCTGCCAATCTAGCACTGCATTCATTTAAATTCATAAAGTCTACGTTCCACAAGAAGTGCGAGAGAAGAAACTGTTAGCATAGAACTTATGGTTACATCTAGCCATTTCAACTGTAAAATGATGAGACCTATCTGCCAATCTAGTACTGCACTTAAATTCATAAAGTCTAGGTACCATAGAGGAAAGTTCATCAGAACAATTACCATGAAAGTATTTCTAGAGAAGGTGAGAGAAGAAACTGTTAGCATTGAACTTACAGTTACATCTAGCCATTTCAACCATAAAATGATGAGACCTTTCTGCCAATCTAGTACTGCACTTAAATTCATAAAGTCTAGGTACCATAGAGGAAAGTTCATCATAACAATTACCATGAAAGTATTTCTAGAGAAGGTGAGAGAAGAAACTGTTAGCATTGAACTTACAGTTACATCTAGCCATTTCAACCATAAAATGATGAGACCTTTCTGCCAATCTAGTACTGCACTTAAATTCATAAAGTCTAGGTACCATAGAGGAAAGTTCATCAGAAATGCTCAGGGAAGGTACATTACATCGGTGGGAAAGGGACTGAAGCCAGGTCAGGACCAATAACACTGCAGATTCTTCTTAGTATTTTACCAGTAATCTCTAAGTATATAACAGGAGCACCAAAGCAGATTTGGCAGCATTATTCAAAGCAAAGACGAAATAGCGAACCAACTTATTAGCTGTACACTTAGCAATTGATTAACATACTCTTTTCACTTCATATCAGATGAAAATGTTTGTCCGAGAAGACAGAATGAGCCACTAACCTGAAGGTTAGCATCAGCCATGCTTGTGGAAGACATAATTGATTCTTTCAGATCATTGAAAGAAATCAGTTTCATTTTTGATATGTTAAAATTAACAAGCTACTTCTTGCACTATTTAACAATAAGCTGTAGGTCATTTTTTTTTAGGTTAGTTACCAATTTGACTTTATGGAATCGATTAAACTTACTATTAATTTCTGTAGGAATTTTTAGTTAAGTGGAGTCTTGAGCTTGGTAAATTCTGGAAGCTTTTCATTAATTGTTGCATTTCATCGGTTCAATTAGGCAAAGTCGATGTCTGAATTCAATGTATCATTTTGCAGATGGAGCTCATGATACAAAATGACCTCCCAATCCCACTTGATACAGGAACTATTCCCTTTCTTATTGTTGTAAGCAATACATTTTCATCGTTAGTTATCGTTCTTTTTTATTTCAAATAAACGAGTTATTTTTGTAACACT